TTATATATATATATATATATATATATATATATATATATATAATTTTCTTGTTTTGTAAATCAATTGATAGCAAGATATTTTAGGCATATTGAATGGTGTTTGTCAATGCACATTCATGGTAAAAAGGGATTTTTTAGATGAATTTTCATTCTTACACATAACTCAAAACAATGAATATCTAATAGTCTACTGACATTGTTTCCATGCAAAGAAGTTCATGATCAGGTTGAATAAATGAATAAATGGAAACTGTCTTAATTCCAATAATGTAAATAAGTAATTTAAGGTATTTAAAACAACAATAACAAGCACATAAGTATCCTATAATAGTTTCTAAACTCTTCAAACACCGAAGTTTGCTGTGATAGCTTTTTGGAACAAGAAAATAATGCAATGTTAGTAAATAGGCAATAATTGAAGTTTCCGGGGGGGGGGGGGGGGATGGTGTCATTTTGATCAGAACTTCGATACGATCAAATCTTAAATCACAACTCTGCATTGAGCTTGGAAGTAAATCAATAGCCATCTCCATATTAAAAAGAAACTCAATATTTTATTTGTTTCATTACTTTGGCATTTTGCTGAATTAACATTTTAACACATTTACATAGTTTGACATATAATCTGTTACACAGCTGTATCCTGTAGAACAAAATAAGAATATGCCCCAGAAAAACAATAACAACTTTAAAAGCTGTTTTGTATGCTCCCCTTCCTTCCTCTCTCTTTCTCTTTCTTTCTCCTCTTTTAAATGACCAGTCCAGGATAATTACTTATAGTATTCATTGGTAGAAATGTCTTATCATGTAATATGTGGATAAATAGTCATCATTACTTCAATGACCAAGTAATATCATCTTAGACACACTCTTATACTTTCTGTGATTTTAATCAATAAAGACTGGTTAGGAGGCCTGAGCATAGTGGTCTAGATTTAGTACAGTTTGGTTTACATCATTCCATGTCCAAATGACCAAAGTCTTTTGGGTCAAAATTTTGATTTAAGAACAAATGGAGGGTGGCAGAATGGAAAAGATTAATCAATGCCATAATTCTGGCGTAATAATGATAATAATAACAATTAACTAATTACCTGAACTTTACTAAAGTGAATGATTCTTCCCAGACAGGAATGTGTTTTGACAAAAGACAAAGATTTCTATATATAAATAACTGCATTTCTGAACAAGAGACATGTGAGAAAATTTGTACAGCATAACCTTGGCTATCCTGCCAACATTTAAAGCACTGCAGTTTACCTGAAAATCCCCCAAAATATCCAACCCAATGAAATGTCTATGATAAATGCTTCCCTTATCTTATAACATGAATGATGCATGAAAGTCATTATTTCTAGGAAAAACAAACTTCTTTCCCATGAGGAAAAATTAAATGCAACTTCTGGAAAATTGGGTTTGATTCCTAGATTTCTAGCTTTCAATGGTATGGTAGTTGGAAGACTTACAAAGCAAAAAATCCTGAAAATATATTATGCTATCCTTTTTAAACATTTTTAAACATTATGTTCTACCTTGTAGTTATAACAGAAACCTCATTTTGAATTCAAAAGAAATGAAAAAGCAAATAAAACATTGCGTAGAGATGAAATTCAATGGTGAAAAAAGTAAGGTTCTACATTTAGGCAAGAAAAACAAAATGCACAGGCACAGTATAAGTGGTACGTTGCTCAACAGTAGTAACT